CTCCAGAGATTTTCCTTGATTACCAATACAGACATTTGACTGATAGAATGGGGACTGGTGGATCTGTAGGCCTCTCCCCATTTTCACTGTCCCCCCAGTGATCGAGACATGGTTCAAGTCAATGAGTTTTAAGGTTATTCAGTAACAGGCCATACTGCAGCCTGACTGCTGTACTAAGGAGTTTCCCTCCTCCTTTCCCCTGTCCCTATCACAACCTTGCCTTTGGCTTCATCCATCGTCTATTCATCTAGCTCTCTGGCTTAATTCAGAGGCGCTTGTTTGTGGACATTGAGCATGATCTTTCGACTTCATGCTGTAGTCGACCATTAAACTCCTATGAAAATATTTGGAAGGTAGCCTAAGCGCAGAGTATAACATTGCAAGGAAGGGGATTTATTTTGGATTCAAGTGAGGTTTTTAAACCATAAATAACTACCCGGCATGTGTCAGAAAGAATATTTTCTAGCAACTAATGGCAAGTTGAATGACTGTAACCGAAGCCTGCGCAAAGTTTCTTAATTTACAATCACTACCATACCAAAGCCCCACGCTTTTTTAATAAGAACACAAGAAATTACACTGAGTTGACAAACTCAGTTGCTCAGGAGGCTAGAGAAATATGAAGGTTGTCTCGTTTTAAGGATGGAAGCTCCCTTCTCCAAAGCAGCCTGCAGGTTTTGCTTAACTCCCCACAAGGGTTCCCGTTCCCCCAAAATAATAAATACAGACCTCAGAGGCGACCAGTGCACAGGACGTGCTGACCACAGACAGTACGAATGGATCTCTAAGGTAGTATAGGTTTACAGGCTGAGTCCTGAACCAGAGACGATTAGCTAGGTTTTACTGCATACAGGGTATGAGGCTTAAATGACTCACAGATAGTAGCAGGGTGAGAGGTTTAGAACAATTTCCTTTTTGTGATCTTCCTGAGTAATGGGGACCGACAGCAAGGTATGTTTTGAGGTGTGTAAAGGATAAGATGAGTGCCCTGAGGGCAAGAATCTAGTTGCACTCAAGGAGTAGGGTTGATGGACATTACAGGGTGAGTCATAAAACTTGGAGGGCTACCTAGAGCTCCATCCAGTTATTCATGGGATACCAAGTCTGGTACTTGAGGAATACAGTCCAGTTTGTCTGAAAATGAGCTCATTCATCAAAAATAGCCGAAACTTTCCACTTGGGTACAAGCGTCAGCTGCAGCACCTTTACATGTCATTAAAGGCCTGTAGTGCTGAAGAACAAACTGGCAAGCCCACATCAATATTGCTGTGTAACAACGACACAAGCGCCAAGCCTATTAGCAACTAACAGGAGCAGAATTTAAGGGAAAACTGACTGACCACAAAATGAGGGATCTCTGGGCCTGGCTAAAGGCCTGCTGACAGAAACTTGGTCGTAAAGGAGAGCCCCACCTGAGGCAGGTGGAAATTGAATATTGTATTATATTTCCTGTGGCTTTTTGTGGAGCTGGAACTTGGCAGTGGAACAGTGAGTGTGGTGGAATTTATAGAAAGCACACTTGAGTAACTCCCTTTAATTGAAAAGAGGAGAACTCTCTGTGTCGTTTTAGCTATGCTAGGTATACACGCCAGTACTCACATTTCATGTCAGCTCTGATGCTGCCCCGCTGAAAAGTCTTCAAAATTAGGTGAACTTGAGAGCCCCAGTCCATGCTGAAAGATGATATTAGAAAATATTTGTTTCATCTCTGTGACATAATAGGATTAGGAGGGACGTGAGAGGCTGTCCCATCTGATGAGGGCAGGTGAGGAGAGACAGAAAGAACCTGAGTCTGGTTTTAGTCTTCGTGTAGGTCAGAATTCTCTCTTCTTCTTTCTTGTCTCTCTTTCCATCTCTGACAAGTCTTCCTCTGGTCCTTCTCTCTCCCTCCAGACAGACTGACCAGTAACTGATGCGCCATAATTACCCAGGTGAGGCTTGAGCGTTTCCATATGAGTGACCTGGGTTGCCGAGCCTGTCGGATTAACATGATGTGTGTGTTTTCTCTCCACTGTTTAGCCATTCCCAAAGTATCCCCTTCACAGCCTTGTGGAATAAAAGGTGGAATCTGTGGAGATTTGGTGGTGGGGCTTTAGAGGAAGGGGACAATTAAGGTTTTATTAATGGTGTGCCACTGACGTTAGCCATGTTCACCTGAATGTTGCGTCTCAGTGAAGGCCTCTGCTGTAAGGCGAGATGCTTGTTCTGTACTTCTGTGTGTTTCAAAGTCTGCCTGTCTGTCCATTTAGCTCACTAGCTGACAGGCTGGCTCACGTCTCAGTACCAAGTAGAAAGCAGAGGAAACACATAGTTCTGCTTGTCTGGAGTGGGGCAGTTTCCACTTATGCCGCCACCTTAACAATAAGAGACGCTAAAAGCAGCTCAGTTTCTCTCCTTTGAATGAAAAGGAAGAATAAGATAATAGGTAGAACAGGCTTGTTTTGGTGAAGAAATAATGAGGTTCTTTGATGTTAAACCCAAATCATCAATTTCATGGCTGTATTGTGGGTATTTATTCTGCTGCAGTAGCAATAGTGATTTGGGTCCCAGTAGGTTAGATCTTAACTAATGAACAGTACTGACGTGGGACCTAAAGTTAGAACCAATCACTATCTTGCTGGCACATGAACAAAGTGGTAAGTTGATTTTACCATTCAACCCTTCTTTCATGCATACACACACACATCTGAAAAATCTGTTCTTGACAGTCACTAAGCCCAATTTGATGGGCTTCCCTTTGTAAGCAGTTTCGACCAAAAAAAAAAAAACAGGATGGAGAAGCCAGGAGTTTTCTTTGCTATTTTGCCAATGATATGATTAGCATTGCACGGACATCTTATTATATATCAATCCATCCATCAACACTTATTTGGTAAGTAGGCTATGCATGTTAACTCAGACCCTCCTGGCACACAGAGACCATCTGATTAGGGTACCTGAACAACCTGAACTGGCTCTTTTCAATGGAAGAGAAACTGATCCAGCTCATCACTGATTGCTTTTAATCCATATCTAATTCTTCACTAAGCAAAAAAAGATTTATGGTAAAACAAGAACCCTTTCATGGTTCCTCTTCTCAACAACAGTCCAGTAAAATGCCTGATTTCTGCCGATGCTGCACTAATCCCCCTGTTGATCTTGAGGCCCATGTTATGCTCCATCTTACCCTTGCTTGTCTCTTGCAGAGATGCTCAAAAAACATTTTTTGTAACTTTATCCACTCAGATTCTCTGGAGTATTGGACAGCAGTGATGGAGAACATTGCAGAGGACAATTATCTACTTTGTTGACAATTTAAAGACAAATTCTTCTAGCAATTGGTGCAAAGCTTTCAGAGGTCCAGGTCAAGAGTCTGTGAGGACATAGCACTGACACTTTCTCCCCTTCGAGTTCCTCTTGAAAGTTTAGCTAGGTATAATCAGGGGTGGTTAGAGGGCTAGGTAAATTCTTGGAGCTCCACCCTTATGCCTGGCTAAATATCACAGAAACATAATGCCACCTTCATTAGCATCATTCTCTCTGCCCCACACCATGCAGTGTTTTCTTTGGGGCCGGCGAGAATAAGAGCCTCAACCTGCCCATCATTATCCATGTTAAAGATGCCTTATTCTTTGGCCATTCATAACAATCCAGGCATCAAATGAAACCCTTCTGGTTTCCTCAAGTCCCGACATCAGGGTTTTAACTTCAGCGTCTGAGGTATGCCATAATTCAGGCACTTTTACACGCTCACATTGGCGCGTTACAGCCCTGGATCCTGAACAAACATGCTTACACAAAAAAGATTTCTTTAAAGGGAGGGGATGAAAATTATGTCGATTTTTCTCTCTCAATCGTCTCTGTGACATAATGATTCTGGCTGGAGAGAAAGAGAGACCACCAAAGGCGGAAATATATCATGCCAGCAGATGAAAACAGTGTTGGTCATTCTTTCAAATGGAGACTATATACAAAGGATGCAGTCCAATGTAGCTCTAACAATTACAAGAAGTTTGCTTAGTAAACTGACTAAAGAATTCTCCTCAGTGAACGAGAGAAAGAGCTGAAGCAGTTGTTACATTACTGGTTCAGTGACTGACAAACAAGCTGATTTCCAGCACAAAAACCCCAGATGACAAAACCCTCCAGTTCCATTTACAATAGCAGGAGATAAAGACGGAGATTGGCTGAGGATTTCAGAGGATCCCATGTGAAAACGAGGTTAGGCAAGACAGACAGAATGTGTTACATTCATTACCTCTGTCTGCCTGCTAGCGTACAAAGATATCAAGTACGCTCATCTTCCCCACAAATTCTGCAGCTATCTAGTTTAATAGGCAGTAACCGGACCACAGGTCCATTCACGCTGGCAGAGGGGGAGTTAGAAGATCTGGGTGGGTAGACTGTTGGAATGACAATAAACTTAGTACTGTACTGAATGAGACTGCAAGGAAGGAGGCTGAATAAAGCAGTGTTAAGCAAAGGTGCAAGTGTGTGTTTTTATGTGAATTGGAGAGGTCGCTGAAGCGGCGGGAGCAGCGGGAGAGAGGGTTCAGATTCTGGTTTTTCCCATGAGAGGAAGGATGTGACTGTAAAGGTGGGCAGAGTAGATTTAGACGTAGATTTTAGGAAGATTCCAGATCCCATGTTAAAATAGATATTGTCTGTCTGGCCTGAGGCTGTGATAACTTACTCCTGCTTTCATTTTTCATATTTGCCATTGTGGGGAGGTTGGTAGTTAAATTGAATTATTCATGATTATAAAACTGTCACTCCTTAAAAGACATAATGTACATGCAGGTTAAAGAACACAGGATTTGAATGATGATTTTTTGCTAGTTGGATAGTATGCACTTAAAGAACTTTAGTGCATCAACCGTGGTGGATATGAATTGGCTCTTCGACAATGCAGTTCCCTGGCAATAGCAACATGGGTATTAAATTAAAATAAAAAATACTGAACCATTAACCAAAGTTTTAACACATAACTACAAAAAAGAGGTGCTTTTTTTTTGTTTTACCTTGACCAGCGAGTGGAGGCTTCTCTCTCCAAACATGTCTTGGAGGAAGGTGTTGTCCTCGGGGCGGCTGACATGGGGCTGCAGCTGGGAGGGCAGAGCGGCCAGCAGCTCATACAGACCTGCACACAGCAGAGAGGAAACAGAGGGTCGGTATGGCAGTGGGAGGTATGAGCACATGCATGCACAGTCACACACGAAAAACACACGCATGGAGACAGATGTGCATACATCTGTAGTTTAATAATACATAAAAGAACAGAAGTGCAGGACGTGTGCATGAATACATATACACCCACACACATTCAAGAGACAGACAAGACAACACATGCATTTGTAAGCATACACATAAATGCTTGTAGTAGAGCTTTTATAACCTCACACACACACACTATCTATGGATGCACGCTCTGTTTCTTTCTCTCTTTAGATGCACTCATATGAATACACATAAAATAAACAAACACAAAAAGTACTACAAGCTACAGAAAAAAACACTAACGCAACTAGAAGGAAAAGGAAACATAGGGGCAATAAAGCATTTCCCCCCAGCCTCTACTTCCTGCTATTGTCCCAGCCTTTCCTGTTGTTTGAGGAACGCCGCTGTCCTCAGTCAGAAAACAATTCCAAAAACTTCATGCCAGGTAGCTAGAAATTCCACTTTTTGATCAGTTGAAAAGTTCAATATTAACCTCCTTTTCAGCCAAACAGATGGCACACATGCCTCGGGAGGATTTCCATCCACACATCTTTCTTGATTGCAAACAATCAGTTTCTGGAGTAAAGTGCATGTGTTTGCTAAACAGAAGTTTTGGATGAAGTACTCGAGATAGATTCTATGTGGCTGTTGCACAGGTTGTGTCAATATTCTTAATACTGAAAGCCTAAAATGGAATTGAACTGAACTGAAAAAACCTTTGGCACTTGAAAGAACTTGATTTGAGGTAAGTGAAGTGAACAGGCTTGGCGGCACACCAACTGATGTCATGAGCTCATAAGGACAGTGGACTTTTGCATTTATCCAGGCCTATGTGGCCCATATACAGGTCACCGCCACAGCATTAGCAAAGTTTGTTGGCGACAGTGAGAGAAACGGGGTGAAAGGATCAGCAGTCCCATAGCCGAATCTGATTCCCTTCAAAACGACACATGCTGAATTCTGTAAGGCCTTTTGGGGTTTACTAACCGGGCTTATAAAAGGAATGAATATTTCAAATTCAATTTACAGAGAACCAGACTGGGGAGCTGATGGTTTCAAGATTAAGCAGAGGGGAGGCGAGGCATTCAAGAGGGAGAGAGCACAAAACCAGCGAGTGAGCGGGGTTCCTTCCAAACACAACAGAGTCCTGGAGCACAACTGATGGAGAGTAGTAGCAGATACTTGTTTGTTGCTCTGCTCTGGTCTTCAGCGTGGCTCTGATCCACTAAACTACGGGATACATTAAAGGTCAGCGCAGTCAGGCCGGGTTATATGCATCAAAGACCCCTTTACAAATGCACCAGAGAAGGCCCCCCAGATTCAAACTGCTCAAACACAACCGCACGGTGCCTGAAAGCCTTTGAAGTAACATGCGATCATGTGAAGAAAATCTAAACACATTCACAGCGGAGCCATCGAGACGTCAAAACAAACTTGAGCGGCTTGGCTACCTCTCTGAGAGCGTCTTTCATCAGAGGACAGGGCGAAAGAGGGGAAGGAGGAAGAAAAGAGGCACCACAGACGCAAGTGGAGTAATTCCTAGCTGAAAATGATTGATTGAAAACAATGGTTGACGTCGTTGGCTGGATGAATGACTGACTGACTGAACTGGCGGGCTCTCTGACTGGGTTAGAGCAAGTGTGTGCTGGCAGCTCAGGCCACTTGGCGGGAGAGCCATGGCTGATGAACCGAGCTCATGTCAAGTGCTGCTGCTGCTGCTGCTGCTGCTAGGCAGTCAGATAGATGGAGTGTCATCTGCCACTCTCAACCCTCTGCTTTCCATTTGGAGCTGATGTGGGGGTTCGAGTCTCAGAGATCTCTGTGCCGACGCACAGGATACATCAAGATGATATTCTGCCCCATTCTTCAGCTCACAACATGGACTCTGTTTAGTGTTAGCGCCTCATACCTCACTTATCCAAAAGTTCTGTGGTGAAGAAAGAAGTATAACAAAGGAGAGGAAAAAGCCACTGAACAAGAGAGGTTTTACACACAACACATGTGCACCAGTCATTACAGCGGCCCCCGTGGTTTTACTCTAGCTTGGTGTGTGATATTGTCCCTGGTATGTGATCATCCGATGCCTGGTTCTGTGGTCCTCATCACCAGAAACTTTCTAGCTTTTTTAAGCTAACACAATCCTGCCTGAGGGCAGCTGGCCCGCTCAATCTTTTACAACTTGGAACTCCCAACAGAACATCTCGCATAATATATATATATATAAAAAAAAGATTTAAAGAGACATGGGATGAGGTGAGGGGTGTAGGAAGGGCGTTTGAGAGTGGGGGGGGAGAGATATGGTAATGTCATTACTATTGGCAGCGCTGAGATACTGGTAGGAGGAGATGAGGGAACGAGGGAGGGAAGAAGAGAGTGAGAAGTCCCGAAGCATTATTCTCCCCAGGTGCGAAGTCTCTGCTCCTGTCTACACTCTCAGTGATTCAATTCTTTATTCCTTCTGACAACAATTCCTCCCTATCCAGGCTGTGTGATGTTTGCCAATGGCACATTATGGGAAACACATCAACTCCATTAGCTGATCAGAAATAAAAACATAATGGGGGAAGAAGATAAAACGACAAGCTGCCACTGTGCTTTGCTTCTGGGGTCACTATGTCAGGCTGAACCCTGTGAACCAGAGAAAACCCAGTTTCAAACAACAACAGACAGAGATGTAGAGGAGCCAAGAGCTAAACAAGGACTCTGCAAAGCTGAAATTAAATATAAGAATGTATGGGTGGACAAGCGCAGAGGAGAAATGGAGGTAGAAAGAGAGAGAGAGGAAGTGAGCCAAAAAACAACCACAGTGGTGGTAAAATCACTGTGTGTGGACACTATAAAAAGTGGAGAGAGAAATAAATCCAGGGCCAGATGTATAGACACATAGATCTGTAACATCAGAAACCGTGTCCAGCACACACAGTGAGAGACAAAATGAGAGAGGGGGGAAGAAGAAAGGAAACAATATTGGGCCAAACCTTCACCACTAAAGGGTGGACTGATTTGTTTCTTGCAGGGCTGGTCTGGCTTCATTTGATTTGTTTTGGACAGACTATTCTGGACCCTCTCGTGCGGCGGCGGACCTGGCAGCGTCTTGTAGTAGACCACTAGGTTCTGTTGTGGCTAGCGCTGGACCAGCCCAGACCAGAGGTCCAGAAGACCAGCATAATGATGCGCAGGATGGCCCAAACAGTCTTCAGAGAAAGCAGAAAGGCCAGGGCCTGCGAAGCTTCCCGTATGGAGGAAGTGACCACTTTAACTGCCAAACAGCACTTCCCCTCTCACGCCCACACCTCCACAGTGGTTAAAGAAAATAACAGTGTTTTTCACAGATCCCCTTTATGTAAAACACACAAAAAAAATCCCAGACAATGAAATGCATTAAACATGATACGCATCAAATTGCTAGTCACATAGGTCAACGGCCTCAGGGGGTTTTTCTAGAGCGGAGCAAGACGAGGAAATTACAGGGACTAATCTGACAACACAGAGTTTGCATGGTTGTAAAAAATGACCCTCGCTACGACATTGTAACTCTGGCAGTGTTTACTTACACGCCACACTACGCCACATGGGCTGCTGTGAGACACATTTGTCCAAAATTATATGGGTTGAACTGTACAGCCCGGATGCTAAGGGACCCCCCTTCAATCTTGTAACTGAACTACATACAGAAAGACAAACTGTCTGTCCGGTGAAAATGAACTTGTTCGAATACAGGAAATGAATGTTGGGTTTCGACTCAATTTCCTCCCCCCTGCATTTTCTCCCAGGTGCTGAATGAGTTATTGACCTCCCTCATATATCTTCCAGGGACATATAGAGAGCACAATGTTCATGAGGCTCACCAGACTGCTGGGGGAAGAGGACTGTGACAACATGTGGGAGCATTCTCAGCAGGTCAGTATTTCAAACACTGCCTTGTGAACATGCTAGAGGTCCATCTGTACAGACAAATGGTGGCAGACAGGGGTGGCAGCAACAGAAGCAGCTGTGTACTGTGTAGCTTAATCCACTCAAGGCTTGATTTACCTCCTTATTCCTCTTCCGAGAGAGAAGGGAAAGGCTGCCTCAAGTGTAGCAAAGGAAGACGGAGAGCAAAGAGGAAAATGAATTGAAGCAAGAATCAGTGAAGGAATACAACATCTGAAATACACACTGACATAAATAACATCTGATTAAAGCATGTGTGCAGAGAGAAGAAGAATGATGACACTAAAGACAAAGATGAGACTGTGAATAGGGGGTGATGGCTTTCTGCAACAGCAAGAACTAACAATTGATGATGATGATTCCTGCACTAATGTAAACAGGTTTCTGTCCGAAGGGAGAAACTCTAGACAGACAGTGGGTGGGAAGACAGATTTAACCTGAGTCAAGTGCCAGACAAAAGGAGAAGAGTTTAGGGCTCCTTCTTCACAGCCAACACAGGACGGGACAGAATATGTCATCAGTCCACTGCCCCAGGCAGCTTCTGTTCTGTCCAATATCATCCAACTGCAGCCTCAAATGGGCGTTCTCGTGCTGGTGGGGGTTCCCGTTTTTGCTGACTGGAACGCCCCCTTCTTCTTCGCCTTTCTTGCTGTTCTGTTTCTCAACAGAAGTTTCAAAATAAGATCTAATAGTCTGTAAATGTATTATAGAACTAACGTTAGCAAGCTAAGCCATCTACAGAACGTTAGTCCAATTACATCTTAATATGCTTACATTTACGTGTAGGACTAGTCTATATTTCTACGAGTTGTTGAGGACAATTCATACTTTGCACGTGACGTCACAACTACTGGCTGGCGGGCAAGAACATCGTTCTCCAGCAATGAAACCCAGTAAACTAATCAAGGATCTTGCCAGGATGTCGGTGTTTCCCCTGGCATTCATTCAGCGAAGGTGGAGAAACAGCACTGCGCTTGCTTTCACCAAGTA